ACCCCCCTTGCTTGCAGACAGCACCTGGAAAAAGTTTGGGAGCATTGAACGGAGACATCATTCTGGGTTAAAACAAGGCACCACAAGGAGATCATGGTTGGCCTGCCCCAAACGCGGGACCAACCCGGCCGCTTTTCAGTAGCGTCCAAGAGGTGGGGAAGGGAGGGAGGCGCGAGGAAAGACCGCCCTTCCCTGCCTCGGCTCTGCTTTAGATGGGCTCAGGTTTCAGCTTGTCTGCGAGAAAGTCGTTCACAAAGGCTTCCACGATCTCAGGGGTGATTTCTTCCACGTCCATAACGTACTTGGCTCGAGCGGACATGTCCAAGATGGTGAGGAGGGGGGCGGCTTCCGGCAGGTTGGTATAATCTCGAAGAGAATCAGTCATGTCGTCCTGGGTAGGTGGGCCAGAAGGGGGAAAAAAATCCCATTAGAGGTGGTTTGGGGCATGACGTCCTCATCGACAGGAATAATTAGAAGCAAACAAGTGAAACCATTAAGCCCGTGTTTCTCCACGTTGGCCACTTTAAGATGGGTGGACTTCAACTCCCAGAATTCCCCAGCCAGCATTAAGCAGTTGAAATATTCTTGCAAGAAAATGCTAAAAACACCTAGTTTTCAAAATCAGGGTACCCCAAACCAGAGTCTGCTTGTGTTCCTTTTGGCACCCCCAGAAGGGTGAGACCCATTTTTTTTCTGCCTTTGGGCAGGGGTGTGGGTGTCCAAATGAGTGCAGGGAGCCTCGTGGGTGCTTAAGACCCCTATGGCACACCTTAAAATCCTGGATCCCCCCTCCCAAAGCAGGCAGGCTTCCTCTGCCCACTTTTGGGGTTCAAGCTTTGCTATGTGGCCCCTTGACTTGATGGACGTTGGACCACCTTTTAAAAGGGAGCCAGACATCGGCCTGCAATTCTAGTTTTCTGCAGGGAGAGACCATAGGAGGGGGCTTTCAGCTTCTGCCGTTTAAGAAATCGAATAAAAAATAAAATTTATTCAAACGTTAATAAAAAGCTCCTCCTGATTTTTTGCAGGGGGAGACAGGTAGGTTCTTCCCTGTACAGAAACAGCTTGAAATGCATTTCTCTACTGAAAAGCCTCCCCCACCCATTTTTCTACAAGTCTGCAGAAACGTCCAGGAGCCAGATGGGAGATAAAACTCATCAACGTAGGACCAGATTCATTTTTTGGACATCCCTGCGACACCCCCCCCCAAGCTTAATTCGGCCACCGTTCTCTTGCCTTTTGGCAGACGGCTTCAGGCACCCTCCCCACATTGCACGCCACGCCCGAGTTTACGATGCTGATTCGAAAAGCTGAGATCTCCACGCAGGCGGAGGACGTTGGGGTGAAGAAGTCCACCTTAAAAATAGCCGCTCAAGCTGTGCCCGTCCCCAGGGAGACAAAGAGCTTTCGCCAGGATAAGGCTGAGATCATCCTGTGGTCTACAAGTGCCGGGTTTAAATTGCATCATCCCCCGTTTGGGGACAGCCACGAGGCAGAATCTCTGACCGCATCTAGGTCTCCTCAATTCTGGATTTTCCTCCTGGCAGAGATTTCTCAACATCAGATTTATTCGAAGCTTAAATTATTTGCTTTTATTATCTTTCTCGGGTGGGGCTTCAAGCCTCTTCCGCCTGTTTTGTGCAAAGTCTCCTGTTTATACTTTGCTTCTCAAAGCCTCAATAAAGCAGTATTTTATACATTTCTGGAGTAGTTGTTTTTTTTTAACTTCTAAATCCTGCCTGTCTTTAACAGCACATTCCACTCCCATCATTTTTATCCTGAGAACTACAAACCTGAGAGGTAGACTCAGCTGTAAGGTGAACGAGTGGCCCAAAATCAGACAATTATCTCTAGCCCAGTGTTTCTCAACCTCAGCAACTTTTAGATGGGTGGATTGCAACTCTCAGAATTGCTCAGCCAGCAATGCTAGCTGGGGAATTCTGGGAGTTGAGGTCCACTCATCTTAAAGCTGCTGAGGTTGAGAAACACTGCTCTAGAGCATGGATTTGAACTCACCTCTTCCCAGTTCCAGCCTCAACTTAGAAATGCTCAACTCAGAGCTACAAGGTTTCTTAGAAAACCTCAGAGGCAACCTCCTGAGATTTTTCAAAACCCATTATCTTATATTTTTATGTTTATGTGCGAAGAGGTGGGAGTTTTAAAACACATGGCTGGAGAACACAGCCACCCTATTGACCTCATTTAACTTCCCTGAAACAGAACCAAAATCAAGTTTAGCGTTTATCCTGGTGAGATTCACTACTGTTTGGAGCAGGCTCCACTCCAGGAGCCCCCGGCTTGCAAAACGTGGGCATCCTTATGTTAACCACAATGGCGACAAGGACATTTTTTTCAGAAAAACGCCTTCCCCGCCTTTGCAAGGCTGTTTGCGAGACAGACCCGAAGTCAGCACCCGTTCCCAAAATACGCCACGTATTATTGAATATCAGGAACTCGCTTACATTAGGTCAGAGAATGAGAGAACAGAGCCCCCATGGACAGTGAACGTCTACCACTGAACACCCAACAGCAGGACCAAACAGATCTCCCTCCTTCTGAGGTTCCAAAAGGCATCACGTTGGCTGCGCTGGGGAGCACCACCCCGCAGGCAAGTTTTCCATTTCTACTATTTTGTGGGTCCGGCTGGGTACCCCGCGCTCAGCTCTGCCATCAATGCAAAGCACTGATCTGTGGCAGAGAGGCCCTTCCAGAAACAAGTCCTCCCTTCTTCTCGGCCCACTTCACAGTTAAGCCAGGGTTCCTCAACCAGATGGGTGGACTTCAACTCCCAGAATTCCCCAGCCAGCCACACACACAGGCTGCGGTTGCACACTGCAATGATTCGTTCTGCAGGAACCTGAGAACCTCAACTTACATTTCAAGATGCCCATGTTTCTAGTCCATATGGCCGAGACGCACAATGGCCTGGAAACATACAAGGCCTGGGCTTGGGTGACCCACGAGCCCCCTGTAGCCGCCATCCTTCCATTTTTAGGCCCTTCAGGGCACCTCCCGGACGGTGCCACCCAAGGGCCGATTTCCAGCAGCACAAACATTGGGCTGAGCGACTGTCCTCCCCGGGCACAGGAAAGACTTGATGGCAAAGGAGGAGCAAAAGGCCATTCCCCCTTCCCAAGGTATCTGTTGCAAAGGAATCTTTTGCACCCCTAGAAAGAGCCCAAGGCCCCCTCCTAAAACAATGCAAAGTAAGATGTGCACAGAACTATTTGCGTGCTAAACTTACATTCCTCATACAGTAGAGAACTTTTATTTTGGTCTTGACTCAGTGCTGCCGGCAACAATCCTGCTTATTAAGTTTATTATTATCCTCATTCCCTGCTTTTCGGAAGAACAAGCAAAAACTGCTCCCTAAACTAAAATAGCAAGTAATTTGGAAATATTAAACGAAACCTCCATTTTGCTCTCCAGTTGGCGGAGCCAAATGTTTTTCCCCCTCCCCAAGCCTCAGTCTTATGATCTGCAGTAGGGGGATAATAATATCGTGGGGTGGCGTTGCAGGCTATTTAAGCAAGTGACATGGAAAGCTCTGAAACTGTGAGTCTTGACCTGCTGGGAGTCAGAAGCAACCTTGAGGGAGGGGGGCACTTCAGGAATTTGGGGGAGTTTGCAGGTAGGAGACTTGACCCTGCTCTGCCCGGACAGGGGCTTGTCCAGGCCGCGCGGGAACACAGTCTAGAGGGATCCAGTTCCAGGTGCCCCTGATGAGCGTGCCTGGGGTGGGTAGCCGTCCAGGGGATGGGGCGAGAGCGCGGCCCTGTGCAGGCCCAACCAGGCGTCCAGCCTTGGTGCCAATGAAATCGTTGGTTTTGTGCATCGGAAGCGGGGAGGGGGAACACGT